CACCGATATGCACTGTAATAGATACTGTATTTTATTTACATTGTGTTATAAATACTTATATGCATTCCTGTTTGTTCAAATAGAATCCAAGTCTATTTTTTTTTTTTTTTTGACAGGCAGAGTTAGATAGTGATAAAGAGAGATAGAGAGAAAGGTCTTCCTTTGCCGTTGGTTCACCCTCCAATGGCCGCCGCGGCCGGCGCACCATGCTGATCCGATGGCAGGAGCCAGGTACTTCTCCTGGTCTCCCATGGGGTGCAGGGCCCAAGCACTTGGGCCATCCTCCACTGCACTCCCGGGCCACAGCAGAGAGCTGGGCTGGAAGAGGGGCAACAGAATCCAGCGCCCCGACTGGGACTAGAACCCGGTATGCCGGCGCCGCAAGGTGGAGGATTAGCCTAGTGAGCCGCGGCGCCGGCCACCAAGACTATTGAAGGAAGAAATTCATTTTCCTTATTTTAATAATTACATCAGCTAGCACTGTGTCAGGAAAATAGTAAATAGTCATAAATTATTGTACATTATTTCCTAAATGCATTATCATATTGTAAACACTATAAATATCAAATAATTTGTGAATAGTTTAAAATTATTCTAAATTTTAAAATGCTAGTTTTCTTCGGCATTTTTGCCTTTTGAACCTCAGGAGTTAGAATGTGAGTCCCATTTTCTGCTTCAAGATTTTAAAATTGAGATTCAAAGACAGATAATCATAATCTAAAATTTACTAACCACACAGGTATTCTTCCTGGAAACATTGTCTGTTCCTTTCTGTTTCAAGCCATTGGGCAGGCAATTCACTCACTTTTTTGTTCCCAGACATCAGGCACTATCAGAGACTGGAATAGACATCTAACGTGAACTGGATCTGAGCAGGCCAAGGAGGTCAGCAAACACAGAACAAGGATGGGCCCACCAACGTCACAGATCGTATACCAAGGAGAGACAACAGACTATAACCAAGCAGTGGCACTCAGCACTATTTCTGCTATGGCCACCCAACTAATACCATTAACAGGAGCAACAGGCTACTGCTGGTAATGGCTGCTCCTTCTTCTAGTGCTAACTGAAATGTACCATTCTCTTTTTTTTTCCCCCTCAGTCATATGAGACTTCCCAGTGAGCCTCAGCAAAATAGGAGAGCCCATAGATTGCAGGCCTATCGTAGCTGTATGAACTACAGAAATAACACAAGAGAAATACTTTGGCTTTCAGGCACGAGCAGGGAAATGGATCCTCAACGAACTCAACTAGAGATGTGAAATGAATCTATTAAAAAAAAAATAGGAGTTTCCATGACTAGAAGAAATCTCTTTCAACAGCAGGTGGTGCAATGCACAAAACATGTAAAATGCAACTGTTCCCAAAGTATTTTTCTTCTACTTTGATTATAATGTTTTTGGAATTACTTAAGATTACTTTTATGAAATGCATAAAATGTATAAAGGAATAATTCATGGTACTTTTCCTAAGGGAAATTATAGTCCAAGAACTGAGTCAGATGTGCAAACTTTAATCATTAATGTGACAATTTAAAGTTGTAATAGAGTGATATACGGGATTCATGAAGGCGCTTGAAGGAGTCGGTTACTTACTTGCCTTTCAGCAGGAAGGAACAAGGAGCTTCAGAGAGAAACCAGCGCTTTCGTTGTCTGACAGATGAATGGTGATTTGCCAAGTGATCAAGAGGAGACTATTTCAGATGGTAAGAGAAAAGTACACAAAGGCAAAGGGACATTGAAACCTCAAGAAGCATCCAGGGCCCTCTAAGTAGGTACATCCAGATAAGCTGTAAATTAGAGTTACAGAGGTAAGAACATAAGCTTTGAAGTCAGACAAGCTGAGTCTCAGAACACTGGCCCATTGCAAAGAAGCTAGGTGACTCTGAACATGCTAATTTGCTCTTCTGAGTCTCATCTGTTAAAAGAAAGAATAAAAATTATAATGTAGGGCTCCTGAGAAGATTAAAAGGAAATAGGCATCCAAAATACATTCAGAGTGCCTAGATGATGCTCCATAAGTCATAAGCAAATATCGTTATCATCATCATCACCTTCAGATTGGAATAATGGACTCTTGGAAGGCCTGTGTGTTCCACAGTGAACGTATAGGAGACACTTAAAAACAGGGCAGAGGAAAAAAAGTTCAGACTCATGTTTCAGGAAAATCACTCTGATAGCCTCATAGAAAAAAGGAAAGAATTGAGTCAGGAAAACTGAAAAGACAATGACAATGCATTTCCAGCGCTGGAAATATGTGAGTGCAGAACTAAGGCACTAAGAATTGAGACAGAAAAAGTGATGTGATCATGTCTGCTTCTCCCCTTGCTGCTTTCCCCATGCAAAGCTTAAGTGGCTTATGGAAGACATCAAATACAAAGTCACAACTGAGGTTGCTGTGGTTACAGTAGGAAAGAGGAAAATTCTGTGGATCTTTTATTCCAAGCCTCATTCTTGAAATAGTCGTTTTATCACACTGGGTTTCAGAATACTGTATTGTAGCTAATCTCAGCAGAGTTCGTTGGCCTCAAGTAAGTAGTATAAATCTCCATCATCTACCCTGCACTCATCAAAGTAAGTAGGTCGTACGATAGATCGACAAAGATGAAGTCATATTCCTGTGGCTGTGGATAATAGCCAGTCACAAAGCACGAATGCGGTTGCCACTCATAACCACTCACTCAGAGAGCCCAGTTTCTATACAAATCCTCTTTCATAAACAGTGCTGTTTCTCATCAAAGGAGCTTATCTTTCATAAAGTAGCCACATAAGTGAAATTTTTATGTATCTTTGTCTAAATGAGTTGTATGCTTTAGTTTTGATTATTTCAATTACTGTTTTAACTTTATAGCATTTTTTTGGTTTATATGTTGCTATTCAATGGGGCACAAAGGTCAAAACTAAAATTTAACTACATTGTCATCTGATCTTTTTTTTTTTTTTTTTTTTTTTTTACAGGCAGAGTGGACAGTGAGAGAGAGAGACAGAGAGAAAGGTCTTCCTTTTGCCGTTGGTTCACCCTCCAATGGCCGCCGCGGCCGGCGCACCGCGCTGATCCGATGGCAGGAGCCAGGAGCCAGGTGCTTTTCCTGGTCTCCCATGGGGTGCAGGGCCCAAGCACCTGGGCCATCCTCCACTGCACTCCCTGGCCACAGCAGAGAGCTGGCCTGGAAGAGGGGCAACCGGGACAGAATCCGGCGCCCCAACCGGGACTAGAACCCGGTGTGCCGGCGCCGCTAGGCGGAGGATTAGCCTAGTGAGCCGCGGCGCCGGCGTCATCTGATCTTGACACTGATCTGGGCAGATTTTTATAGTCATTGCTCTCAAAATGTTTATACTCAAATAGCAAGGAAGGCTATTAATGATTGGAAGGAGCGGGTGCTGTGGCTTAGAGGGCTAAGCCTCCCCTTGGGTGCCAGCATCCCATATGGGCCCTAGTGCATGTCCCAACTGCTTGTCTTCTGATCCAGGTCTCTGCTTATAGCCTGGGAAAACCATGAAACTGTGGAAGATTTCCCAAGTGCTTGGGCCCCTACACCTGCACGGGAGACGTGGAAGAAGCTTCAGGCTTCTGGCTTTGGATCAGCTAATCTCCAGCCATTGCAGCCATTTGGGGAGTGAACCAGTAGATGGAAGACCTTTCTATCTTTCCCTCTCTTTGAAACTCTGACTCTCAGATAAATAAATAAAAATCTTTAAAACAATGATGTGAAAATGATGTTAATAATGGTGTGGAAATATAGTAGTCAAGCATGGTTAAGTTTTTGCTTTCTTTGTTAGATGGATGCTTGGTTATTTTAGCAGTATTTAATGTAATTCCATTAATAAATATAATGCCTTCTAATTGTACAGTACTTTATATTTAATAATGTGTCTCATTCATTTATTCAGTGAATAAAATATTTACTGATCATTTATTATATGTCAGATATTGTTATGGAAATATAGCGGTGATCAAAGTAGACTAGGATACTTATGCTAATGGAGCTTATATTCTAGTTGAGGAAGCAAGTGATTCAGTGTGTAAGAAGTTGATGAGTTCAGAGAAAACAAGTCAGAAAGTGGTACTAAGAGGTGCAATTTTAAAGAATGAGCTCAGAGAATAAAGATGCAAAGGAGACAAAGGAGCAAATCTTGTAGGTATTTGGAGGGAAGGCATTCACTGGTACAGTTCCCAAATGATTGCAATGGTGTGAACTAGGCCAGGCCAAAGTCAGGAGCCAGGAGCCAGGCTTCTGCTAGATCTCCCACATGGGTACAGGGGCCCAAGTACTTGTCCATATTTTTGGCTGCTTTCTAGGGTACATTAGAAGGGAGTTGGATCAGAGGTACAACAGCCAAGACTTGAATCAGTGCCCATATGGGATTCTGGCACTGAAGGCAGAGGCTTAATCTTCTGTACCACAGTATCAGCCCCTACAAAATCTTAAGCTAGAAACATACTAGAGAAATCCTATAGATAGTAAGGAAGCAGTGCCTCTGTGGATGTGAGACAAAAGGGAACAGTATTTAGAAAAGAAGTCCAAGAATTAATGCCAAGATTATGTAGGGTTTAAAGATTATTTTAAAAGATTTTTACATTTTACTTTGAGAGAGATGGAAATTACTGGAAAGATTAGAGCAGATCCAAGATGTAACCTGACTTACAAGATTTTAAAACAGTACCACAATTCTGGCTTGAGAAGAGACATAGGGGATGAGAATAGGAAAAGATATACCACTTAGAAGCAAACAGAAATAATCCAAAAGAGGAAACATGGGGTTTTGAATTACCATGGTCATAGTGAAGTAATAATATATCCATCTGAGCTACCATTTAAGTTGTAGGTAAAAGAATTTCTAACTGACTGGATAGGTCAGTGAATTCAAGTTTTGGGACCTGAGTATCTAGAAAAAAACTATTAAGTGAGATGGAGAAAATTACGTAAAAATGATATGGAAATGGAGAGCAAGAATTCAATTTTGGCCTGGTTAATTTAAAATCAATATTTTTTTAACCAGCTAGAGATGCTCAAAAAGCAATTGGAGTTTCTCTCTCCCACAATCCCTCGCGCTCTTCCTTTCCAGCTTGGGCCGCGAAGAAGAGCAGCGAGAAGAAGGGTCGTTCTGCCATCAACGAAGTGGTGACCCGCGAGTACACCATCAACATTCACAAGCGCATCCATGGTGTGGGCTTCAAGAAGCATGCCCCTCGGGCACTCAAAGAGATCCGGAAGTTTGCCATGAAAGACATGGGAACTCCAGATGTGTGCATTGACACCAGGCTCAACAAGGCCGTCTGGGCCAAAGGAATAAGGAATGTCCCATACCGCATCCACGTGAGGTTGTCCAGAAAACGTAATGAGGATGAAGATTCCCCAAACAAGCTCTACACTTTGGTTACCTATGTACCTGTAACCACTTTCAAAAATCTACAGACATTCAATGTGGATGAGAACTGATTAAAGTTGTAAAGCTTCCAAAAAAAAAAAAAAAAAAAAAGCAATTGGAGGAGAGAGGATTTATCCTGGCAGTTAACATGCCCATGCCCACATTGGAGTGCCGAGGTTCAAAGCCCAGTTCCTGACACTCACAAGGGGGATCTGGATTGAGTGCCTGACTCCTGGCTTCATTCTGGCCTGGCCCAGATCATTGCAGCCATTTGGGACCTGAACCAGGGGACAGGATCTTTCTCTCTCTCCTTTTTCCTCTAGCTCTCCCCAGGCCTCTACCCCACCCGTCTCCCCTCTTTCTCCCTTGCAAATTATATGTATATAATGAAGTTGGAAATAAACACATGTAAAAAGAGGAAGGGAACATAGACTAGAGAAAAAAAACTTGGAACTTGTCAGTATACAAACTGTATTTAAAATCATGTCCCTGGACGTGGCCACCAACAGGGTGGGTGGATATAGAAGAGCTCCAGGAATGGAACTCAGAGGCACTCCAAAATTACAGCACTGGAGAAAGGCAAGAGAAGAAGCAAAACATGCCGAGAATAGCAGCCTGTAATGTAGGAAGGAAGGCCCAAGGGTTTGCTGTCATGATAGCTATATGAATAAACATTTATAGGAAAGGAAGAAATCAACTGCATCAAGATAGAGACTGAATATTGATTATTGGATCTGGCAATATGGCCATTACTGTAAGAGAAATTTCAGTGAAAGCGGTGCAGAGAAATCATATTGGAGTAAGTTTAAGAGAAAATAGAGGGCCATCTCTGTGGCATAGAAGGTTAAGCTTCCGCCTGCAGTGCCAGAATCCCATATCGGTGCCAATTCAAGTCCCGGCTGCTCTACTTTCCATCCAGTTTCCTGCTAATGGCCTGGGAAAGCAGTGGAAGATGGCCCAAGTGCTTGGGCCCCTGCACCCGCATGGGAGACCTGGAAGAAGCTCTAGGTTCCTGGCTTCAGATCGGCCCAACTATGGCGTTGTAGCCATTTGGGGAGTGAACCAGTGGATGGAAGACCTCTCTGTCTTTACCCCCCTCTCTCTGTAACTTTGCCTGTCAAATAAATAAATAAATCTTTAAAAAGTGAACTTTGGTATTTCCCTATTTAGAGAGAGAGAGAGAGAGAACAGAAGAGGGCTTCCTATTGCTACAGTGGTTTAAGCTGCTAATTGTGATGCCAGCATCTGATAGCAGAATGATAGCTTGAGTCCTGGCAGTTGCACTTCTGACTCAGATTCGTGCTAATGAACCTGAGAATACAACAGGTGATGGGCCCCTGCTACCTATGTGGAGGACCAGAATGGTGTTTCTGCATCCAGGCTTCAGCCTGGCCCAGTCTGGCTGTTGCAATCATGTGGGGAATGAACCAGCCAATGAAAAATCTCTATCCCTCTTGCTAGATAGCGCTGCCATTAAAATTAATAAATAAATAAATCTTTGCTAAAAAGGCAGATAAATTGAAAACACTCCATATAGAAATCTCTTTCGAATGGTGTTCCTATAAGGAGGAACAGAGAAATGGAAGGTTTATAGAACCAAAAATGGAATACAGAAAGGACTTAGTTAAGATGCAGAAAACGGCATGGTTTTGTGCAGATGCATTGTTGTTTAATAAGCCTAACACCTCGTGAGACAGATATTATTTGCTTCCATTTCTCAGGGATAAAAAGAGAGAGAGACTGAACTAGATTATGAAGATTGCCCAAGAGACTCCCCATTGAGCTCATGTGTACAAGTCTTTACCAATAGATCTGTCGATTCTGAAGCCCATCTTCTCTAAGGATAAGCACAACATGAAAGAAGAAGGAGGAATTCGCTCCTGTGTTCTTCATTTGCATTGATATTGATGCATATATTTACTATCTGGCACTGATTTTTTACCCATATTTAAGATTTTAATATGGTACTATACACAAAATACATCTTATAATTTTTGTTCAGGATAGATACGAAGACCCAGAAATTAAAAATACTTATATTAATTTAAAGAACCATTTCTTGGACAAAAATATAATCAGCAAGTCTAAACTGAAATAAGTTTTGCAATATCAAACATAACAAAAATAAAAAGTAAAACAATCAATATAGTTTTCCAACCTTCTGTATTTCTTTCTTTTTTTTTTAATTTATCTATTTTATTTGAAAGAGGTACAGAAAAAGAGAGAGACAAGGAGAGATCTTGCATCTGCTAGTTCACTCCCCATATAGCCACAGTGGCCAGGGCTAGGCCAGGTGGAAGCCAGGAGCCAGGAGCTTCTTCCAGTTCTTCCACATCAGTGCATGGGCCCAGGTACTTGGGCCATCTTCTGCTGCTTTCCCTGATGCATTAGCAGGGATCTGGATTGGAGTGAAGCAGCTGGAACTTGAACTGGCATCCATAGGGGATGTCAACATTGCAGGCAGCAGTTTATACTGCATCACAGCGCAACCCCTGGTCTTTTGTCATTCAATGCTCTTTCATTTTTGGATTTCCTTTAATTTCTTTTACTTTTTCAAATTTTTCAAAGTTTTATCTTACATATGATAAAGTATTTATGGAGTGCCATGGATGTTTCAATACATGCATACACTGTATAATATTCAAATAAGGGCAAACATGCTTAGCTCCTGAAACATTTCCCATTTCTTAATGGTGGAAATATTCAAAATCCTTTCTCACTGCTTTTTCTTTAAAAAAAAATTGCATCACCCCACTGTGTAACAGAACACCAGAGCTTCTTAATTCTATCTGTCACATAGTGCCCACCAATTAATATTTTCCCATGTCTCTTTCCTCCCTACTGTCTTGAATTCAAACTCCCTTGAGATCCACACGTTTATACTTCATATACATGAGCAGGGTCATGTGGCAGACTTGGCTTATTTCACTAACTATGATGACCTCCAGTTCTATCTATGCTGTTGCAAATGACAAAATTTCATCCTTTTTATGGCTGAACAATATTCCCTTGTGAATGTGTACAACATTTTCTTTAGTAAACACTTATAGGACACTTGACGTCTTTCTATTTCTTGGCTATTGTGAGTGATGCCATAATAAACATGTAGTACGGATGTATCTTTGACAGGTCAATTTCATTTTCCCTGGATATACATTCAGAAGTGGGAGTATTGGATCATATGGTACTTACAGTCTTCATTTTTGTGGAGCTTCCATACTGACTAATTTAATTCTTTTGTTTTATTTTGTGGATCATATTCTTTTGTGGAATTACTGTGGATAAATCATACATGACACATTGTGAGAGACTCAGTTCATATGCTTTTATAAATGCAAAGAATAGTCTAGTTATTTAGGCACAGAGGTTTGTATGATCAAATGTCTAGTGATTTTGTATTTTGTAACTTATCAAAGATATTATTTCATATACCCTTTTCTTGCTCTAAATAAGCCAGTATATTTATTTTGGTGTGATGGTTGCTATAGTTCTTAAATAAGTATCAGACGAAGAGTAATATACTATAAGTAAAATTTATTTTCATTTCATCCTCATTGTAGTTATCTGGAGATTTTATTTATTCTTTAAACAACTAAATGCATTGCTACTGTATTATCCCAAAACTTATTAATTCAATTCCTTTTTCCAACATCATTGAATTAGATTTCCTAGCTGGTGGGAAATGAAGAGTACCAAACATTTTTTTGAGCTGATTTAAATTCATACTTGTGAAAATTAATGACAGTGTAAGGAGAAAAACATGCTTCCAACAAAGAAATGAACACAGACCATAATTAGAGTGCATTCAATAATATAAAACTCGTATCTTGTGACTCATATTCATGTTCTCCCATTTGATGATCACTTCAGAACTTGGTAAAGGATATGTTACCAATTAGTTTCTTTGAAAAGTACATCTAACTACAAAGAAACTGGCAAAGAAATAAAAAGAATGTAGATAATGACAGAAAACGTTCATGTGATAATAGGATATAAATAAAATTCCCCTTGATTTCACAAAATCATATCAAAATACAGTCAGTTCTATGTTTAGGTACTCTATGAAAATCCTTTATGACAAAGTGCTTAGAATCGAATTATTATTTCCAGCTCATCTTTTGGCAGTGTGAACGACATATATATGCATATGAATGTATGCATGAATGTAGAAACATAGTTCATTCTCTTGACTCAACACATATGAAACAACATAAAGGCAGAGCTAAATGTTGCTTAATATTTCTATTTCCATCAAACTAACAGATAGTCATTGTTAAATGCTGGTCTAATACTCTCACACTTTTTTCAAACTAGTTAGTAGATACAGCCCTTACACCATCTTCAGAATCTCTAATGGTCTCACACACATATGTGGAGGGAGAATTTTCAGAAAGTTCATGGAAAATGTTTATTATAAAAAAATTCTCGGACTTTAAAATGTTTGCACCAATTTAAAGTTAGCTTTGAATTCTAATTCTCCATGAACTTTTTCAAGTGCACATACGGACACACACACACACCATTTTACATGAATGAAATAATGTGCACCATTAATTTGGCTACAATCTTCTATATAGCTGCCTTCCGTTCTTTTTGCTTCTCTCCATTCCACCCTCCATATCCCCCTCTCACCACAGTCATAATGAGAAAATTCTAGATGACATGTATTAATCATCTGGGTATGAAAGTCTGCATTGCCCATATCCTTATGCATCTAGATGGACATTTACATTATCCATAAAAATATACTCAAAAACTACCACAATTTTTATGCATTGTTTTCACGCAGTTATAGCTGGTAAAAGTTTCTAAACACTCCATGTTGTCTGATTCAGTTTCAGTTCATAATTTTAAATAGTTATGCAATATTCTATGCTATAAACATACCTTTATAGAATAATAACATTTTACTTTTGAAGGATTTTAAAACACTGATTTAGTCAACATTTGCCTTTGTATTAATATTTGGACAGCTCTGTGCCTTGTCCTAATTTTCCAATTAGGAAAAGTTGGAACTCAGCTGGAAGCAATGGATGTTGAAAGTAAAGGGAGGTTGGCTGGCGCCGTGGCTCACTAGGCTAATCCTCCGTCT